CTCTTTCCCCCACCTACCCCATGCAGTCAACCCCTTTACACACACACACACACACACCCACCCCCCTCTCCACCCCCTAGCCCAGGAGGATTGAAACAACTGCTTGGTTTCTGCCCCTCTCCCCTCCAGCATATAGCACTCTCCCCCAAGCCAATTACTCACTCCCTCCCTTGCCTCCTGTTCCCTGCTACTCTGTTGGATTGTGTTCAATTTCAATCATGTGGCAGGCAAAGTTTAGTTGCTGTTCAGAGAGGCCCTGTCCCTATGGATGAGCTGCTATTAGGACTACCAGATGATTTAACCAAAAATACTGAACACCCACCTCCCCCCCCCCCCCCAAAAAGGACCAGAAACAGGTATAAATATTCAGGCCTGAATAAGGCTAGAGATAACAAGGTTAATTCAGTCAGGGAGGGTGAGGCCCACTTCTAGCAGCTGACCTGGAAGAGATGTAATATAAGCCATCACGTGCCAGCAATGCTCCTCTGCTAAATACATGGGCCAACCTGGACACTACCTCCATAAAAGAATAAATGGACACACATCAGATATTAGGAATGGCAATATACAAAAACCTGTAGGAGACCACGTCAATCTCACTGAACACACAAGTGGATTTAAAGGTAGCCATCCTGCAGCAGAAAAACTTCAAGACCAGACTTCAAAGAGAAACTGCTGAGCTCCATTTCCTCTGCAAATTTGACACCAGAAGCCTAGGATTAACAAAGACTGAATAGCTAGCCAACTACAAAAACTCCTCTTCTGGGCTACGTCTACACTGGCATGATTTTCCGGAAATGCTTTTAACGGAAACCACGTCTAGATTGGCCACGGCCGCTTTTCCGCAAAAAGTGCTTTTGCGGAAAAGCATCCGTGGCCAATCTAGACGCGTTTTTCTGCAAAATAGCCCCGATCGCCATTTTCGCGATTGGGGCTTTTTTGTGGAAAATATCTCTGTCTACACTGGCCCTTTTGCGCAAAAGTTTTTCGGAAAAAGACTTTTGCCCGAATGGGAGCAGCATAGTATTTCGGCAAAAGCACTGACAATCTTACATGAGATTGCTCACAAAAGCTTATGCTCCAATACATCTGTTAGTCTACAAGGTGCCACAGGACTCCTTGTTGCTTTTGCAGATCCAAACTAAAACAGCTACCCCTCTGAAGCTTATTCTTGGAAGTTTTACTTTCTGAAACATTCTCCTTAGCTTCAAGCTCAACTTATAGGCAGCTCCAATGTGGTGCTTTCCTAGCTGTCTCCTGGGCATAGTGTGACATCCACAAGCAATTTTGGTGCTCCCTACTAGCGAATTTAAGAGACTAGTCAACTACCCAATAAGCCTTGGCTTATCAGGTAGTTGAGTCCACTACTTGCATTTCTCCCTCCTTCCCTCCACCCTTTTTTGCTGCCTTTATCAGAGGCAGCAAGGGGGGGCAATCTGGCTTAAAAGCTGGTTTCTCCTCCCCTCCCCCCACCAGCACCATCTCTGCTGCCCTCCTGTAGCTGCTGCTTCTGAAAAGATAGCAGCTGAAAGGAAGGGGAGAGAAGGCAGAGGAGGCTGCTCCAGGGGCAGTTCTAGCAGGGAGTTGGAAGCTCCTGCAGACAGGAGCTGCTGCTGCTGGCTGGGGAGGCAGGCCAACTCCGTCCCGGCTCATGCCAGGACCAAAACCCCCTGCAGCGCTGCCATTTAAAGGCAGTAGGAGCTGGGCGACCTAGCCCCTGGCTCCTGCTGCCTTTTAAATTGCAAAGTCACAGTGGGGTTTTGTCCTTGACACAGCATGAGCTAGAACTGAGCCAGGCTGTCTTCCCCTATTGAGTAATTGATCATTTTGACTACTTGATTACTAAAATAACTTAATTGTAACATCTTTACCCCCTACCTAATGCAGTAAATGCAAAAGTTAGAAGCAGTGAATAGCATCCATCTCTTCAGTCTCACTAAGATGGTTTGAATCAGTGAAGTGGCCCGCTTGCGCATTTCAAATGTGACTGAAGAAAAGGTTTAAAAGGCACCCGTTTTTTTCCTTCACTGGAAATACAGGTGTTGAAAGATCTAAAAGGTGCAAGGCACAGAAACATTTTAGCCACCAAAAAAGAGAGAGACTTCAGAAGTATTGAAGCACAGTAGCTGAGGTAGCAATTAAAACACAGGCACAAATATACAAAACAAGTCCCAGAAAAATGAGGCACGGGGTATGCTTTTTTTTTTTTTAAGCACTTAGGTACCCACAAGGAGCCAATGCACTGCAGGCAAAGACATAGAGGAGCCCATACTGCATCAGCATTTGCAAAGTCATTTATCCAGGCACGTGTGAGAGACTAATACATTGTGCAAAGATTTGGAGTGGCAGCAGTACCCTGGACAGGGATTTCTTTTGATGCATGTAGTCCAGCAGAGATTGACTGGAACATTCAGTGTATAGTATTGATCTGGACAGCATCTGACAGCACGGGCCTTGGCTCATGCTCTACCCTTATGAGTAAATTAATTTTTTAAGACCTAAGAGTTATACCAGGATTGAGTGAGGCCATTAACACGCAAGATTGGGAATGTTGGCAATTTTTATATAAAGCAGATCAAGTGCTTGTTATAGCCTCAGGTATGCACCATACAGTATCTGGTTAAAATATTAATCAGTTGACTGAAATGGAATTTCAGCATTAGTAGGGAACATACTTAAGGACAAGCATCACCATGGACCACATATGAGCTCCTTGGTGTAAAATAACTCAGTTTTGAAAGGATTTCCATGTTCTGTGACTCAGGGTAATTTTAATATGGATTTCTAAATAATTCTAATAGAACTAGCCTCTTACATACTAATACAAAAAGTGGCCTGATTGTCACCATCAAAGTGCCTAAATAGGGCTTTGCCTCAATTCAGGCACCTGAATTTTGCCATTTTAAAAACATCCACTACCACTATCAGTCCAAAAAGGCAATACTTTGTACTGTGATTCATTACTAGCTCTATGAGCAAATTTTAGCTGAAAGGCTTATGAACATATAGTCTACTATAAGATCTGGTGCAAATAGAAGAGGTATAACTTCTCCTAAACAGACCAAGCTGATGGCCATGTTCAGACCCAAAGTGAGATATCAGAGACCCAAGATAACCTAAAAAATAAGAGGACTAAGGGTCATCAAGACATACATCTTCCCACAAAATTTCTCCAGCTCATTTATGTTAGTCCTGCTAGTCCCTGTTGTTCATCTTACAGAGACTTGAATAAATACAGATGATGGTAGTGCCGTCAGAGGAGGTATCAGCTTCATCAGATTTTGTCTAAGATCAGGGCTCAACAGTAGATCTATAGTACCAAAAGCTCCCAGATATATACAGTACATCAGTACCAAGTTTGTCTGAGACATGTCCATCATCTTCATAGACATGAAGCCATGTGCTGAGAAGGGTAGCAAACTGCAATAAGTGCTGATGGGTCCTATTAGCCAATGTCTTTCTGGTTCTCATGTATTAGCACAAGACTGTGGTGTGTGAATTTTCAACAATGGAATACTATTTCAAATCTAAACCTCTTCAGTGAAACTAAAAAAAAAAGTTAGATTTTGTAAATTAATTCTCCCCTTTACATTTTTAAATCATACAACATTTGAGGCTCACTCCATAGTTTAGGCCCAAATTTTAAGTGCTGAATTCATATTTTTTGGGAAAACATCCATATGTAATAGAAGGGCATGATTCCCATTATGATCTCTCTTTGAATGTTATCTATAGGAAATCATCAAATTTCATGGGAGGAACAGGAATTAGTAATGGCAAGGCTCTTTTACAGACAGATACACTTGTAATATAGCCCACTGCAAGAGCATCATCACTTAAGGCAACTCTGCACTTTTCTCACCACATCCTTACCTGCAGTTAGGTGGTGCTGTCTCACGCTGCCACTACCTGTCACCTCTTCCCGCACATCTAGCAAGCCAATTGTTTAAAATTAATTTAAAATAAAATGTTCCCTGTTTGGTATCGTGCATAGTTATCAAAAAAACAAGAGTCAAATGCATCATTTTCAAAGTTCAGAAATGTGGAAGCAGATCACATATACAACTGAATGTGGTAAAGAATAATTATACATCTACAGACCCTTGAGCAAATGGTGCCATTTTAAGTAAATAGTTCAATGGAAAGAGACATCAGCCAAACCACAAACTGAAATAATCATTTATTGACAGTGATGTCAAGTTTATGTAATTTTAATTCACATAAATTGTGAAAGGAAGGCTAATCAGAAGTGACTGCCAGTGTATTTAAAATCGTAATGATAAACTTTTTTTTTGGTGAACAGTTCTACTATAAGGAAGAAAAGATTGCATAGGTTCTACGTGTGTGCACACAAAAAAAAGATCGGAAATGCATCAAGAGTCACATTACATTTCAAAGTATACACCAGCTACTCAAAAAATATTCACTTGCAGGTGCAAGACAGACATTGGAATAACCTATAGAATAAGGCTTGTTACTGCTTAATATTCAAAATACTGTCCTATCATCATATAATACATAGTATATTAATTAATCAGAAAAAATAAAGTAAAGTGAAGACACTTCTTGAGTTTATTTTTGAAATCTGTTTTTGACTCATATTTCAAACGAGTCCTGTGCTTGCTTCACAGGATTTATTTTGGAAAACAGACAGTGGTATTGGCGTTAGGAGTTCTTTGCAGCATTAAAAAAATTCAGAAGTTTTATCGGCACACAAATAGAATGATTTCACCATGCGGTAACAAATAAATATGGAGAAAAGACACCCCTAATAAATTAGAAGTCCAACATTATTTAAACTTCACCTTAATGTAAGAGCTACACTCTTACTGTGAAAGCTGAGGATAGGTCCAAGTCCTCCCCTGACAATTGTTTGAGGTCTCCAATTGCTCTTTGTAATCAGTGCATGGCCAAGTTCTTTGGTGTGTGAGAATTAAAGCTACAGTTTTGAAAGGGTATACTCCAATTATGTTTAAATCTGCATTTTAGCCTGCTTCATAATGTAATCACATTTTAATTAATGTTTCCAGTTACTTACCAGACTAGCCTCTTTAAAATAGGAGTGAATCCAAGCAATATAAATGAGTTCCTGCAGACCACAAAGTGTATGAATTCTCCTGAAGTTACCTGTAAGTTCATCTCTTATCATAGGGCATCATTCGGGCATAATTACAGAAAAGTGTCTACCTAAAAATAAAGCTTTCCTTACAAACAATATTTCTGTACATTAAAACTGATCCTGTACAATCTATATTTCTTTAAAATAGGTTTCAAAACATTTAAAAAAAACCTAGATTTTTATGTGCAGAGAAAAGTATATACAGTACAAGACAGATAGTGTGGCTTTAAGAGAGGAAGGTGGCTACACACTATTTAAGAGAGATCTGAAGCTCATTAAATTGAAAGATCTATTAAAGACCAATTCCAAGTTAATTAATGGTGCATTCAATTACATATACACCTGAGTATAATTTTCTGATTTATCCAAGTAACCTCAATATCTACCAAAATAACTAAAATAAAATGTAGACACACATGAACAAATGAGCAATTCTTCAACCTAAATATATTTGCCAAGTATCTACAAAGCATGAGCAGGTGTATTAAGAAAGCAGACAAAAGGCACAAAATTAGCCAGTACTAGAGAAAGTTAGGCATTCATGCTACAATATATTGGAAATATAATGGCGTATATAAGAGTCACTGTAAAAGTAAGTTAAGCACTGAGCAGAAGTCAGTTTACTATCTTTTACATATTTGTCAGATACTATATTTCTCTTGAAAATTGACACCTCTCACTTTAACTGAAATGCAGCTAAGCAGTAATATGTATGTTTTTAGATATTCACCTTCTTCATCTCATGGGTGATTTACTTATAAAGTAAAAATCAAGCTATAGATTTTTACATTACAAAATGAATTACTGCCGCCAGTATTTTTTTTTAATTACTAAAGTCCTTATTCCACCATCAAGTAGTAAGTTACTAAATAATAGCTGATGTAAAATAGAGCATTTTCTGAGCTGTTATAAGAAAAATGTCAACTAGCAATAAGTTGGGCCTTAAAAAAAACCACCAAAAATACAGGAATGCTCAAAGCTATAACACAAGACTGATGGGTTGTAAAGCTAGTTCACCCAAGGACATCTGCATTCCCTAGCAAAACCAGCGCCAGGTGTTTCGCAGAGAGATCCACTTTCCCATGGCATAGAGAGTGACAAATGGCCTCACAAAAAATTATGCAGCTCTTTGGAATACAAACAAAAAAAGGAGAACAATGGATTAGTACAGACAAGGTTCTTGCAAAGGTATTGCTACTTTTTAGAAGATGGCAAGAAATCCATGCTTATAAATGAGTCACAAAGACACAAAACATGCTCTTAAACCAATATCCCAAAGAATGTTATCAATGTATCTTGCTTAGGTCACAAAGTGAACCATTTTACCACCATTTAAACTATGAATCACTGCCAGTGACAAGTCACATTTTATAAGTGCAAAATGTTTTTGGCAAAGTGAAAAATACAAAACCTCAAACTGTACTAATAAAAAAGTATTCTTAATTACCAACATAGGGCCTGATCCCATACACAGAACTCTCATTCCTTCAGTAGAAGTTTTGTGCACAAAATGTTTAAAGGATCAGGTCCCTAATCACTGATAGTATGTGTATAACATGTTTACATATATATATATATATATACACATTTATCGATACATAGTACGTGTGTATGTATGTACACACAAAAAATGGCTGTTGAATAAACTTGAGCTTGTAGCTGTTTCATTCACAGTATATAGCTTCTTATTTGTATCTCATCATAACAGAACTTATTCAATGACACCTGAAGGTTATATACTGCATCATTTTAATGCCTCTAAGATGGGTTTTGTTACGAGACACCAGTGCACTCTCTTGTCAATTGGATTTCCAGAGGGGATTGATGTATATCCAACCATCACCCTGTAAGAAAATGAGGGAGATTTTACAAATGAACCTTTCAATTTTTAAAGATATACAACACACTATGAAAATAGATTCTGTAGAAGCTATAGGAATACTGTCAACTACAAAAAATAAATCATATGGCTGTCTAAAAACCTTGTACATGCTACAATTACAAATAATATATAAGACTACTAATACGGAATAGTATTAGTGAAAAAGGCTTTCACTATATTTTATACAACAGCAATGCATGTGCAGAGTGAGATTTTCTGTGTTGAAAGCGTCCTAATAATCACAGGTTAGACCTCCCTGGTCTGGTACCCTTGAGACCTTCCTTTGGGACTGCCAGAATTTGCCAGACATGGAGAGGTCCCCTGCCACTGGCCCTCAAGCCTGCCTGCAGCTTGTGACCGCCCTGGCAGGCACCCTGTCTCTGGCTCCCCCACTCCCCGCTAGCCTGGCTGGACTGCTCACTGAGCTGCTGCCAGCTTCCCAGCATGACCAGGCTGCCGCAGGCTCCAGCCCTGTGCTGTTGAGGGCTGCCTGGGACTCTGGCCCCAGCCACATGTTATGTCAGGCAACCTAGGACTCTGATTGTGACTGCTGGAGGTTCCAGCCTGGCCCCACACTGCCAGGGACTCCAGGCCCATGCTGCTGGGGGCTGCCACAGGGGCCCAACCCCAGCCCTGCCACAAGTTGCTGGGGCCTGCCACAGTACTCTGATCCCAGCCCTCCTGCCATTTGGTGCCCAGGCTCTCTGGTCCAGTATCTTCCGTGGTCCTACCAGACCACGGATGTTGCCAGTTCAGAGAGTGTCGATTTTTGGCGGTGCAACCTGTATCAGTGGGGGGAAGTATAAAAACCTTTATAAGGTATTTGACAAGAATTTTGTTTCTAAGAGTTGTGCTAACTAAATGATACTCTACCAAAAATTGCAATATTTTTAATTTTTCTAAGTTCAAAAAAACTTGACAGTGTTCACTGAAACAAGTTGTTTTGAAAATAAATACTACTTTGCATTTTATCATATTCTGTATCTCCAAAGGGAAGAAAATATGTTTACTAATTTCCATTCCATAAAAAGAATCAGTGCTGCCAGGAGTATTCCTAGACATGTGTAAAAAAAAAAAAAATCTTCCTGCAACTTCCACACAAAAGGGCCTGATTAGATCATATCCTACCCTCCTTCTACAGAAAAACTTCCACCATCACTAAAGGGAGCTGTAAATGAGAACTATAATGATAAGGGTTAACATGTAGCAAATAGAGTCAAATATTTCAATACACACTTGTTTATACTATGCTCAAGATCGGGATTTTTTTTATCCATACACTTCTGAGTATAGTTTCCTAATACTAAAAGCCTATGGTCATATCCTACCCTCCTTCTACAGAAAAACTTCCACCATCACTAAAGGGAGCTGTAAATGAGAACTATAATGATAAGGGTTAACATGTAGCAAATAGAGTCAAATATTTCAATACACACTTGTTTATACTATGCTCAAGATCGGGATTTTTTTTATCCATACACTTCTGAGTATAGTTTCCTAATACTAAAAGCCTATGGATCCAACCCCCCCCCGAAGTATCTTAGATGTCTATTTTAAAGTTTGTACACACAAAAATATTAAACATATCAGTAACCAGTAAGATGAAAGAAGATAGATTAACATGATATTTTCTTCCACTTCTTTAAAAAGGTAAATATTTCTTTGCACCTTCGGAAACCCAAACAGTCACTTACGACTAGAACAGCAGAACCAGAAAATGAAAGTGACCAATCTAGTTCATCATCCAACATGAATAGAGTAAAAAAACAGCACCATTTTTTAATATTTAATAAACTGTAACTTGTATTAGTAACACTGATTTTCTTCTCAATTGCCTTACTTTTGTCTTAAACAGTTTTATTTTTAAAGTAACCAGAGCATCCAGGCACTGTTGCTGATGGGGACAGTGGAATCCTAACACCCAAGATCTAAAGGGCTTAATTGTGAATTACTTCTTACTATCCCCATCATGCAATGTACATGAATAGTCCCAGTGAGTTCAATGGTACTACAGATTGAAACTCTCTAAACCGGGACACTCTGGTCTCACATGGATGTTGCAGGGAGTAGCAGGGCCAGTAGCAGGGAGCCCTGTGGGCCGGTAGGCCAGCAGGCTTCCCGCAGTGAGTTGCCGGTGGGGCCACCCAATAAATAGCAGCAGGGCTGAGAGCCACAGCAGCAGCAGTAGCCCAGCGGGGCCTGGAGCAGCAGTCAGAGCAGCGGCATGCAGCTGCCCGGTGGGGCCTGGTGGGGCAGAGCTGCCTGGTTTGCAGCTGCACAGAAGGGGAAGGAGTTGGCAGAGCAGCATGCAGGCAGCAGTTCGAGAGCCAGCTGGGAGGCCAGAACTTGGGGGGTGGGAGGGCTGGCGGCAGGGGGGCCAGAAATGACCTCCCCTGGTCCAGCAAAATCCCTCATCTGGGACCAGCCAGGTCCAGTGTTCCCTCTACGATTTTTCCATCCTTGGGTGGGTTGAATTTTCTTTTGCATGGGTTGAAATTTCTTATGTGCACCACTAATACTGAGGCAGTGGGTGGATGTGCACCCACCAGTACAAACAAAAACCACAGATATAAATGTATATTCTAAATAGTGCATAGGTGTGAAAGAAAATACATTAAAACAAGGGTTAATATGCTTATAATTATTTAATATGAAATAAAAAAGAATATTAACACCACCCTTGGCTAAAGAAGTGGGTTGTACCCACAAAAGATCATGATACTATTTATATATTTTTAGTAGTCTCTTAGGGTATGTCTACACTTGCACCCTAGTTCGAACTAGGGATGCAAATGTAGGCATTTGAAATAGTCAATGAAGCCGGGATTTAAATATCCCGTGCTCCATTAGCATAATCTCTGCCGCATGCTATTCTGAACGCCAGCTGATTCGAAAGTGAAAGTGCGCTCCGGGCTGCGTTAGTTCGAATCAAACCCCTTGGTTCAAACTAACATTATGCCTCAATTTTTCAAATGAGGAGTAACATTAGTTCGAACCAGTGCAGGCAGGCGCATGGATCCCATTCTGCTCCCAGTTGTCAGTGGTGGACCTGTAAAGGGGCTGGGAGCTTCAATTGAAGAGGTATGAAGATGTAGCTCTAGAGTAGCCTGGCAGCCAGGCCCACGTCTCTTGGTAGATGACCCCGCACTTTCTTGTCCATGCTGGGGAGTATGTCTTCTCTTTCTTCTTTGGTACCAGCAATGGTGAATGGAGCCAAGAAGAGCTGGTTGCCAGCAGTGGGCTGCACATGGAGGCCCCAGTGCTACATGTGACCTGCTTGGACAGCTCAGAAGTTGGGTGGAGGGGAGACTCCATCAGGAGAGCCCTTAGGTGTCGATCCCATTTTCTGGGTGTGGGGCCAAAACTTTTTGCAGATCTGGCACCGCTCAGCATGTGACTCCCTAAAACACTTAAGGCAGCTGCTATGGGGTCACAGTCTCTGCAATCTGAGCATGGTTTAAACCAGGAGACTGGTACATGCCTTCCCTGGGGCAAAGTCCCTGCTGAGACCCTAGCTAATAACTAACTAACCCTTAACTACTTAAACACTATCAAATGCAAACTATGCAGGAAGGCCCTAAGTTCAAAAAGGAGAAGCCACGAGCTCTTGCTAAGAAAGAAAGGAGCTTCCACTGACCACCACAGGCCATAAGAAGGAAATGAGAAGGAGCGGGGTTGGCAGCACCTGATATGCCGCGGCAAGAAAGCAGCACTTACCAAAGATACCACAACCAGCCCTAAGGGTACCGCTAAGGCAAAAACTTCTGATGGCCACATAGAATGGAATCAACATGAGTAAGCACTGGAAGAACAGCAGCTAATCTAGATCCCATCATTTTATATGTACACTTGGGTTTATGTTTTCCAATGTGCATTCTTTTGCATTTATCAACACTGAATTTCATCTGCCATTTTGTTGACAAGGCGCCCAGTTTTGTGAGACCCTTTTGTAACTCTTTGCAGTCAGCTTTGGACTTAACTAGCTTGAGTAATTTTGTACAACCTGCAAACTTTGACATCTCACTGTTTTCTCCTGTTTCTAGATCATTTGTGAATATGCTGAACATCACTAGTCCCAGTACAAATTCTTAGGGGACCCCATAATTTACCTCTCTACTGTGAAAACTATTTTGTTTCCTATTTTTAACCCATTACTGAGCCAAGAATACACCTTCCCTTTTGTCCCGTGACTGCTTTCTTTGCATAAAAAGCCATTGGAAAGGGATTTTGTCGTAGCATTTCTGAAAGTCCAAGTACACTATATTCAATGGGCACTTTCAATGAATCACCCTCATCCACATCTTATAGAAATCCACAAGAATCCTAATAGATTGGTGAGGCATGATTTCCCATTATAAAAGCCCTGCTAATTCTTCCCCAACATATTTTGTTCATGTATGTATCTAATAATATTATTTAGTAGTGTCCTTTGAAATCAACACATTGGAGGATAGATGTAAAATTTAGACAGATCTTAATAAATTGGAGAACTGGACAATAGACAATAAAATGAAATTAAATAAAGACAAATGTAAAATCCAACACTTAGGGAAGCAAAACTAAATGCACAAATATGGAATGAGGGAAAATTGGCTTGTAAATGGTAGATTCTTTGTAACTTGATGAATTCTTTGTAAACTGAAGTATTTAAATCATGATCTGAGAACGCTGGTAACTCAGCCAGCAGATAGGTGTCTATCACAGGAGCAAGTGTGTGAGGTTCTATGGCCTGAAATGTGCAGGAGGTCGGACTAGATAATTACGATGGTCCTTTCTGACCTATCAGTCACTGCTGAGCATCAAGATGTTTTTTAAATGGCCAATAATATGGATAACCACAGGGACCAAATTTATAAAAATTCAGACACAATACATTTAGCTGAAGGCAGGTGAAAGTCAGCATTAAAAAAAAAAGGTTTCAAAATCTAAAATAAGAATCTGATTATATTTTAGGAGCCAAAATGTAGAAAGATCAAAGAGATTTATTAACCACCACAATGGTACAAATTAAAAGCTGGTTTTAATGCACACATACATCCCTCGCCATACTGGGGGGACTCCACTACATTCTTATATTAAAGCAACAAAGAAATGCTTTGGAGTGATTCACATTACCTCCTTGGTAAAATATTTTGGTTGCCATGGGGTATTAATAGCCACACGTTGCCGCTCCTCTGCTCGCTGCCTCTCCTCAAGGCGGTGCTTGTGCTCTGTTGCTGCATCGATGTTGCCTTCTTTCAAGGAGTTGGTGACATGTTGCCAAAGATGCCTGTGTGATGGAGCACAGATAATAAACAGACAAAATAAAATGAGAACCCCTTAGCAACAGTAAAGTGTCTTGTAAAGAGGAATATACAAGTGTAGGGTAAACCTGCCACTTCTTTCATACAATGATAGTGTTCATTATCTGGTACACGTGCCACCACAGACAGTCTTTAAACAACCATGTTTTAAATCGTTTTCATTATATTTTGAAGGTAATGTTAACTACTTTACTTCAGTCATGGTTTAAACACGTCTATTTGTTTTATTAAAGCTAAACAAATGCATGAATTTTTCCTAGAATTTCTCCTTTTTTAGCAAGTGTGGATTCTCTCACCTCACTTATTAAACTGTGGATCTGATTTTCAAATGTATTCAGCACTCAATATCTAGCTTCACCATTTAGATGCCTGAATGGGAGCTGTCAGCTCTTGAAAACTTTGTCCTACATCTTCAAACCAACATGATTTGTGTTTTATAACTGCTTTGTGTCTAGACCTGTGTGTAGCTCATTAATGAAGATACTGTGCAATGTTTAACCTGTGTGATAATTAGCAAAGGAAGCACACCAGTCTTTTTGCATCTGTTACTTTAAAAGATTCTACTTCTGAACTACAAAGTAGTATATTAAAACAACATAAGAAAATAAAACGCTAATGACAGTCCTTATACCAGGTTACTATAATGTTCAATTTAGAACCAAATTTCATCCTTATCTACTTGACAGAGTGTGCACACAAACTGTGTGTCTGGCCAGCATGGAACCCAAATTCAAGGGTACAAGTAGTAACATTTTGACACATGCAGAAATATGGACCAAAAGCTGTCAAAACACTCACGTTCTTTTGCTTATGAGCATAACTTTTGTAACGTGTAATTTTCAGTTGTGTTTAAACAAGCCATTATTTAAAATGTATTAAACTGTGAGTATTAAGACAGGGACTGAATATTTACAGTTCATCTGCTAGTGTCAAAAATAAAAGAGAAGCAACTGCTGGCTTCCTTATTCACATTCTTTTTTTTTCTGGTTGGGATTCAGCAATAAAAAGGCATTTATGTGAGAAGGAGCATGTCTGTTAGCTAGCACACCTCATCCGATAAACTACACTCATTTGTAAAAATGATAGAATGTATTCCTACATTACAAGGTGAAGTTTCATTCATCAATGCTCTTCAAGATTCTCTCAAATGGCAATAATAGGATTCCATAAAATATTCATCTTTTAGTGACAAATATATAAACAAATATTTACAGTAAATTCTAATACAAGTTCTCTGATATAGTGTGTCAAAGTCAAGTGAAAGGTGTGGGTGCATGACAACTTTTTAAAGTATTTTTATGTTATGATCACATTAAGTCTAATATACAGCTGTGAGGAATAAACATGAAATTCAAAATGTAGAAATGACAATTCAGCAACTACTCACAAGGAAGCAGACATAAAAACTGCACAGATTGCCTTTTATTTTGAAACTTTACAAAATCCATATTAGTATCTTTTCTTTTAGTAACTGAAGAGCAATTCTATTGCATTTTTTGGTATCAAAAGTTGTTCTGAAAAGTCTGCGTATGCAGCTTTCACTACTCACTGTCTACGAGAATTTACGCTACCCAAAGCAAAAGCTTTACAGGATCACACATAATATACAAAAGCTGCTTCTGTATTAAGTTTTTGTCCAATCTTCATAAACAGACTTCTATGATGCCCATAACCTTACCTTGATTCAAATGGACCTTGTTTTGCTATTGGTCTGATCTTTTTTCGCATAACAGGCAGTTTGGTGGTGTCAATCACTTTGGTTTCTCCATTGCTATATGTAAATTCCAGTGTGCCATTCCACTCTCCTTGTGCCTTACACACGATGGTATTGGTGGGATTGTGTTTCACTTCTGCTGTAACCCTAATTCCAATAACAAATGCACCAGTAATATATACAAGTCTCAGAAATACAAGTCACCAAATATATAGGTTTATCTTTATGCCAACACATTAAAAGGACTATAATCCATTACATTAAAACTGGAACAGATGCACATAAAGGCAAGTAGAATGATCCGAGGAATGGAAAAACAACCTTATGAGAGGAAACTCAGGGGCCTTAGCTTGTTTAGCTACCTAGCCAAAAGGCGGCTGAGGGGAGAGATGACTGCTCTCTATAAATATATCAGAGGGAGAGGAGTTATTTAAATTCAACATCAATGTGGTCACAAAAACAAATGGACAGAAACTGGCTATCAACAAGCTTAGGTTTGAAATCAGATGAAGGTTTCTAACCATCAGAGGAGTGATGCTCTGGAACAGCCTTCCAAGGTGTGTAGTAGGGCAACAAATCTAACTGGCTTCAAGACAGAAGTTAATAAGTTCATGCAGGGGTATGATGAGATGGTCTACAATGGCACATAGCTCATCTGCAACAGCTAGCAGCATTTCTCTAACGGCTGGTGACGGGCCACTAGATGGGGAGGGCTCTGAGTGACTATAGAGCAGGCTGCATTCTTCAATGATATTAATGGAGAAAGTGCAGGGTCTGGAATGGAGGTTGGGTGCAGAAAGGAACTTAGGGTAGGGAATTGGGGTGCAGGAAGGGGTGCAGAGTCCAGGAGGAGCTAAGGATGCAGGAGAGGATTTTGATCCGGGGGAGGAGTATAAGAGGGGCACAGGGTATGAAAAGGAGTTGTGACCAGGGATACAGGAAGGGATGCAGCGGTGTAGTTTGTGACCTGGGATAGGTGCAGGCTCTGGCTGGGAGGTATTTACCTTAGGCAGCTCCTGGCTAACAGCCCACTGAAAGCCTTGAGTAGGCTCCCTGCCTGCCACACCCCTATCCGCCTTTGAAAGCAACTGGCTGCAGGGGAGCACGTGCATCTCTTCCCAGTGCCCATCAGGCAGCTCACATTGGCCAGTTTCAGGCCAAGGGAAACTGCGAGACTGTGCTGGGGGCAAGGGCAGCACGTGGTGGAGTCTCCCCCCGGGAATGTGCAGCATACAGAGATGCATGTGGCTCCCACAGCCGGGGAGCCTACCTGAGGCTCCCACTAGGCTGTGGGAAGGTGGCGGACTGGATCCAGCAGTTTGTTGGGCTCAATCCAGACCATGGGCCATATTTTGCCTGCCCCTGCTATAGATAATTCATTTCCAGGTACCTGGCTGGTGGATCTGACCCACATGCTCTGTGTTTGATTACCATATTTGGGATCAGGAAGGAATTTTTCCCCTGGGTCAAACTGGCAGAGATGCTGAGGCGGGGAGGGGGGAGTGTTGCCTTCTTCTGCAGCATGGGTCATTTTGCAGATTTAAACTAATGCAAATGGTGAACACTCTACAACTTGGGCTATGTCTACACTCGCAGCTTCTTGAGCGAGAAATATGCAAATGAGGCAAAGTGTGGAATATCGCCAAGCTTCATTTGCATACCTAATGAGCCGCCATTTTGCAGAAGTATCAGAGGGGTAGCCGTGTTAGTCTGAATCTGCAAAAGCGGCAAGGAGTCCTGTGGCACCACACTTCAGTTAGTCTATAAGGTGCCACAGGACTCCTCGCCATTTTGCAGAAGAGGCTCTTGCACCAGAAGGAGCTGTCTACACTGCCCCTTCTTGCGCAAGAAAAACCCTCTTGAGCGATGCTGTTATCCCTGAAAAAAAAAAAAAACAAAGTCTGAGCGCCCAAGCAATTTTAAAATTCAATTGTAAACAGATAAGTGTAAAGTAAAAACAGGTATTGGACTTTGTTTCTTCAAAGAAAGCAAGAGCAGCCTGAGTGTGGTACATCAGGGCTGATACATTCCAGCTATAGCCAGAATGTGTCAGCACAAATGTACCGCACACAGGCATATTCTAGCATATTTCCTAGAATGTTTTCTTTCTGTCCCTGGCTTAGCTGTGGCCTGAGTTAAAAATAAGCATCAGTCTGGATTTTCAAAGCTAACTCAGAATTTGTTTGATATAGTGGACTGACAAGATACTTAACATTGTGCTAAAATATACCCAAATATTAAAGCTCAAAAATTTGAAACCCCAGAACCTTAATATTGTTACATACCAAAGTGGCACATCCCAGATTTCAAGCATCTCTCTCTATATATATTTTTCAAAGCTACAAATCACATTTTAAACTATTTATTTTAAATGGAAAAGCTCTTATAGGATAGGGGACAACTTGGCTGTTAGTGAACTGATTTGAGAACCAGCTGAAGGAGCATGTTCTGGAACACGGTGTAGGAAGGTTTGTTTTATTTTTTTAAACATATGATAAAACACATTATAATTTCAACTTGGTTTTTGCATATTTCTTACACATGCACTGACAACACATGCACAACTTTACAGTAATAAATATAGAAAACTGAAAAGGTTTCCAAGTACTGTACACTCTGACATACAAAAGGAAGCAGCCAACCAGTCAGCCATTTGAATACCTGTGAACTTTTCCTCCATAGAAAGGCTTGGTGTGGAATGTGACAGTAGCAGAATAGCCAGTCTTGGCACAGTTAATACTGACTTTACCTCCAAGCTCCACCCATGGAATGGTAAGTATTGAGCGTGCATAGGCACTCGGCAGCGTGAACACGTACTCTTCCTCATGTTCCATTAAGTAAAGAACACCTAAGAGAGAAAGGTTGGAAAGTGAAATGACACTAATGTACTGATGAGGACATGCAGCCACTGGCCGGTTACTACGAGCAAAAGGAAATCCACAGAGTAATTGGAGACCCTCACCATGAAGTCAGTGTCTCCACCAGGAAACCTCCCTCAGAAGAAATCTGCTCAAACATAAGTAGGTCTTGCTTCAGTTCTGAATTCTAACCAAGTCATCCTTCAAAACGATACGGGATAACTGTGTCTGCTGAGAACGTAGGTTGTTTACCAAAAAAAATAGGTATACAAGGATGTAAGACCAATGAAAATAAATTTCATAAAAGCCAACTCAGGAAGTCTGAAATACTTGTGTAGCTCCTTCTATCCCCATCAAAAACCGCCCTTTTGAAACAAAGAGCCCTGAGGAAAGTGGTCCAGGGGAAGGATGTCATCTCCCTCAATATAAAAGATTCTCCCAGGCAGTCTTTCTAGGTCCTGCAGCTAGTAACAGAATCCACACTAGCCCACTTATGGCACACGCTCACCGCCACTGCCCCTGTCTGTCAGCTCTCTCAGCTCTGCTCTCCCCTTTGAATCAATTCTACTTTGTATCGGTTCTTGTGCTTCCCCCATTGCTGTAGCATCTCAGTGCCTTCCAGCAGCGCATTAAATGACATAACCGAGCAACTGCCACGGGTGCCTCTCAGCCTCTCCCCAGGAGAAGCTTGAGTGCAATATAATGCCCTTCAGGTCTCCTGCTGCCCCCTGAGTCCATCTCCACTGCACTAGTTTGCTCTGCTCTTTGCTGCATATGTGATGTGTATGTGACACAGCTGGAGTAGTATTTTGAATCTATCTGGCTCTAACAAGAGGCTAGCAGCAGCAGGGTGAGGGAAATCTTCACTGCTAACTAAGGAAGCTGCTGCTCCTTGCTTATTCAGAGGATCTCTGCATCTGAGACTTGGTCCGCACTACCAGCTTATATCAGTATAACTATATTGCACAGGGGTGGGGATTTTCCACACCACTGAGCAACAGTTATACCTGTGGGACACCCTATATAGAGAGCACTATATTGACTGGAGGGCTTCTCTCACAAACACAGCTACACTGTGGAGTAGCTACACTCACAGGAGAACCTCTTCCATCAGCGTGGGTAGCATCTTCACTTAGCCCTGCACAGTTGCAGCCCTGTTAGCGTAAACAAGTCGTTCTGTCCCATCATAACTACGGGTGGGTTTTCAAAACAAAGGATATTTGTAAAGTACAAATAAGAAAATGAACACTGCAAATACATGCTGCATGCTCTACATTAATTTTGCCACACCAAATACATTTGGTCCTGTAAAAGATATTATCATATCCACCTTGTCTCACCAAATACCCTGACCAATTCAGCTTAGGAAAGATCAGTCATCACACACAAAATTCTCAAGAGATAGCCGTGTTAAGTCCGTAATTTTAAAAACAATGAGTACTCCTGTAGCACCTTAGAGACTAACAAAAATATATATAGTCCCATGAGCTTTCGTGGGCAAAACCCCTTTCTTCAGATAAGTTCATCCGAGGAAGCGGGTTTTGCCCATGAAAGCTCATCATACTACAGTAAAACTCCAAAAGTCCGGCACCCAATTGTCTGGCACTCCCGATAGTCCTTTGATTGTCATCAAAATGGCAAGCGCTCCTGACGGAACCGGGATAGAACTCAGAACCGCTCGAGTCAGCCGCTCTCATGTGGGTTACAGCAGGGAGGAGAAGTGTTTGGCTCCGGGGAAGGGGAGGAAGGAGATTGAGGGAAGAGGAGGGAGATTGAGTTACGCACGGCGTCCCAGCCAGCTGATTGAAAAGCCGGCTGCTCAGCGCATGTGCCCCAGTACCTGGAGGGAGACGCGCGTCTGTACTGGCGGCTCCGGTACCCAAACATAAGGTTGGGGGGAGGAGGAAGGATGGTTGGGAGTATGCAGTACCTCCTGATACTCCGGCATATCTGATAATCCGGTACAACCTAGGTCCCAAAGGTGCTGGATTATCGGAAGTCTACTGTATATATACTTTTGTTCGTTTCTAAGGTGACAAAAGACTACTCGTATCAAAAATAAAGTTAGTTCTACCAATTTTCATTTGAATGTTTCCTTGATTTTTCATTTTAATAGCTTCCTAGGAGCCAAAATGGTTTGCTACAGAGATTAAGTATTGGGAAAAAAGATCACAACATGTGAAATAAATTAGTATTTCACTTTTGCCAATAAAAATGTGTTCTCAGTACAGGATGCAAAGACAAACCTAAGTGATTCAGAGTTCAAAGAAAGGAGTTCTGCTATAGCATTATTTAAATAAAGATAGGGCTAGATACAATAAGTAGATTAGTCACTTCAAGACTGGAAATATTCCTGGAAGGATGAAAGCAAACCATCAGAGCTTTCTGGAGCTGCTCTTGTTACTCCTCTACACTCAGCCTGCCAACACCACTATTTCCCTAAGTCAGTTTGATTCAAATGTCGTGGTAGGCCACAGCACAAGCACAGGAGAGGGATACGATAAACTGTTTTTAACCCTTTGCACTGGAGAGCCAAAAATTTCTACTTTGCATGCTGTGGTCTCAGCACCACCACACATCAATAGTGACCTTATGGAACAAACTTAACAAGCAAGCTCTGTGTGGGAAAGTTTACACAGCAAAGAAAAACTCACAGCTGGCATGTCCCAGCTGGCTCCAGCTCTGGCTGAGTGGCTGTTTCATGATTATTGTGTAGACTTCTGAGGCTGGAGCCTGGGTCTAGGATCCTGCAGGGTGGGAGGGTGCCAGAGCTTAAGCTCCGGCCCTATCCTGGCAGTCTACAGAGCAATGAAGCAGCCTCATAGCCGGAGCTGGCTAGCATGCAACAGCAGCGAGTTTTTCTCTGCTGTGTTGACATACGATCCATTGTTTCTGTGTTTGCAGGAACACACGATTCCAAAACATTACAACAAAGCTGACATGCACACTCTGCTCAGAATGACTCAAGGGAAGTTTACATAAGAAGAAATCATCCCCACCCCACTGAAAGTACACCATTTAATTGCAGATTGCATTATTCTACCTTCTATTAGTGACAGTAGTATTGCTGAAGAGTTACAGAGCTGAGGTGCTGCATAAACAGAAACCAATGTACAGCCAATAAATCAGCATTAAAGCACAGAGAACTTTCATATTTCACTCTAAGAAGCTTAAATTTTACACAGACCTAATATAATTTTAATTTTTAATCCACACAATGTATCTTCCATAATTTTCCCTGCTTGTAAGATTCCCGACTGGCTTTCCATTCGGTTTCACCACTTCTGCTTAACTGGAGAAACTGTTTCAGGGTGAACCAGTTACAGTATTTTGTTTACTGGAGCCTCATATACAACAGGTGATAGTATTTCAGTTATTTTCTGTCCCCCTAAATGTCCAATACTGGCAATTTAGACCCAGATCTTCAAAGATATTTAGGAACCTAACTCCCACTGGAATTAGACACTTAAAAACCTTTGGAGATACAGGGCTATATGTACATTACAGCCTGGATCAGCACTCTGAGACTGATCCACCAGCAGTCGATTTAACGGATCTAATGAAAACTTGCCGAATGGACTGGAGATCGCTCTCTGATAGACCATGTTACTCTACCGCAACTGAGAAGAGTTAGACCCCCTGTGGTGTAGACCCCGCAGCAACTCAATTTAAGATACATCATTTCCAGTCATGTTATTCATGGAGTTATGTATGGAGCTGTATAGCTCACATTGACTTTTTGCTGTACTGTAGATGTAGCCTGGATCTTAGCTTCTTTCTCTCTTCCCGCACCTTATACCAGCACGTGGCTTCGTTTACAATGCTTTTCTTCTCATTTAGGTTCAATCCGAGCCCCACCAACTAGCAAAGATCATCACACTGTGCAGAACAGACCTATAGAAGTTTGAAACTGAAATTGTGTCCTGTCCCAAAACTTTGATGTTAATTAGTTACTGCCATTTTAAAATAAAATAATATTGTCACTGATGGATTTTAAAAGATCTCTTACTTCAGCCCTTTTTCACTTCAGCCCCTTTTCACACTACCCAAGAGACCTTTTTGAAATTACAACTTTGCAAACTAATAAGGAAAAAAACATGATAGGTTAAATTTTGCTCTTACCCACTAATTTTTGGCATAAATCCCTCAAAACACATACAGGCAGTCCCCGGGTTACGTACAAGATAGGGACTGTAGGTTTGTTCTTAAGTTGAATTTGTATGTAAGTCGGAACTGGTACATATTGTAGGGGAAACTCTAGCCAAACATTTCTCCAGAGCTCAGTTTTATTCTCCCACACCTCACTTCCCTCAGTCCTTTATTCTCAAGCTGAGGTGTCTGCTGAGAAAAGCCGCTCCGCGTCTCCCTGGTCTGCTGGGGGGGGGGGGCTAGCTTTGCATCTCCCTGGTCTGCTGGGGGGAAGCAGCTAGTGCGGGGTTGCCTCACCCCGTTTGTAAGTAGGGATCCGATGTAAGTCGGATCCATGTACCCCGGGGACTGCCTGTACTGTATTCATGCAGAACAATAAATGGTCCGAGTGCCCAAATTAGTGCCTGTTTTATAATTCCCTTGCAGAATTATATGAATTTCACAGTTCATCCATTCTGGCAAGGGCCTCTCTATATTTGCACTTTCTGACTGCTGTGCTGAACACAAGTACAATTTTCTTTAGGATTATTCATTTACAGTTCTGCTTCAAGGCTATTTCCTCCATTGTAGACTGAATTCAATTCTTAAGAATTTACATTAAGAATTTTTAGTACCATCCATCAGTTCCAGATGCCAGTATCCACAGTGGTATCTATGCTAGAAAACACCATCGGTGAAGAGCTAAAATTAAAAATAATTTAAGACTAGCAATTTCATGAGCAGAGATTGGCTAGCTCTCTCCATATCATGTTAGTATGTCACTTCTTAACGCAGCTACTTCATTCTATGGGGACAAGTTGATCTAAGCTACACAATTGGAGTTACATTAGCAGAGTAACTC